CTTACCCTAAACCTAACCATAACCTAATTGTAACCCTGACACTAAAACCACATTTTGAGCCTCAAAAAGGCCTTCAAACTTGTGAGGACCCGGTGAATTGTCCTCATAAGTGACTGTTGGTTCTCACAAGTACAGTAGAATGCAGATTTCGGTCCTCACAAAGATAGTTAGACAGGAACACACACACTTGTGTGCACATGTGTTTTCATATCTCAAGTATTGAGCAGTATTACGCTCAATTTCAATTTTCGTATTTCTTATTGATTGCTTCTATGAGGTGACGGAAATAAAATCTTGTTTCCACAAATATCAGGTTGTTTGTCCAGTGATTGTAACACATAGCTCACTTGTGCGTCACATTTTGTGACTGCGTCATTCATTTAAGTACATTTTCATATAAAACATAAATGGCACTAGAATAAATGAGTTTTTATTGCAGTAATCTACATTGAATTGAATAATTGAATAAGATGTCATCATTTTATGTCGGAAGAGCAATAAAAACTTTTGTTAGAATGTGTGTGCAAATACAGAATAGAAGCAGAATTTCATCTACATGCCCAGGAGTAAGAACTCTACTGATCAGATGCTCTTAAATGTTAATTATTATATATGGTTATGACTGGAAATTTCTGAATTTTAATTTTGGAAGGGTTCTGCACGCCATTTATAACTACAGGGCTTCATACCGGCTCCATTAAGGAAAATCCCTTTTGTCAGAATTTAAGAGGTACCGCCCCACCCAGAGATAACCACCATGCTCAAACTGAATCACCTTTTAAGCTTTCTATACTGCTGCACATGTAATATACCCACTAAGTGCAGTGACAATAGCAGCCCCACTCTATCTGGTTAAACAGCTGAGTAATTGCAGTCATCATTTGAGTGGCTTATGTTATAGTTGAGGGCGCACAATGTGGGTCTGCTGAATGTAAGTGTGTTTGTTCAGTAACTTGAATTTGTTGTTTAAAGTAGATGAATGGTGAGTGTTAGTTCATTGCTGTTAAGAGAGACAGAGGTGGACTCGGCTACAATTGATGGCTTTAATAGCTCTCTTTTCAACAGCATCTCTAATCTGTTACTCACTCGACTCAGCTAATGCTTTGTTTAAACGTGGCAGAAAAACCTGCATTAAAGCAGCGCTAGGAATTTACATAGCTGCATTTGAATTATTCCGATAAATTCTACTTATACTGAAAGGAAAAAAACATTCAGCCCCTATGATTGTCATGGTTTTGCATGTAATATTTCTTAGCTTGTTTTGAAGTAATGCATCATATAATATGGCATTTATTTATGTGAAAACACAGGCTAATAAATTAATAATAATTATGTAAAAAGCCCCCAGTATTATTTTCACATGAGAGTAAAATGTCAGATTTCTGTTTGTAAATAAACCTGTTAAAGATTTCATTCTGAATTTTAATGGAGTGATCGTTAAGTATGGCGAAGATGTTGTAGTTGAAGTACATTGCCTCTGATTCTACAGTTATTTATCAGCAAACTCAACAGAAGAGGTTTTGCCAAGGTTTAATATTGCTATCTCTCCCCCTTACAAACAAAATAAAATGTCATTAGTTGTAGGGCTGTCACTAATGAGCTTTGCTACTATAGCGACATGGCTTTGGGGAGAGGACTTCTAATTAGCTGTTTCCTCATTCAGGTACACCTCATTTGTGGACAAGCTTGTAACACATTTCCCCTTTTGAACTAATATGTCTTGGCATGCATACTCCAAAATAAGCCTTGTGTCAGATGAATAATAGTAGGCAATGGGCTGTGAAATGCTGTAAAAATAAATTATCCCTCCTGTGTCTTTCAGATTGCTTTCTCTCTCACTATGTGGGGAAAAACTGACGTGGCATTCTACTGAGCCTGAAAACAGAGGCGTGGACAGCAAGACAAAATCAGATTTTCTTCATTTATTTGGATTAGGAATAATTCCTCTTCCAAAGTGCTCTGCACATCTTCTTGAAGAACTCATTCACAGAACTTAAGGAAAAACACTGGTCAAACAGTATCTTCCGCTACTCCCCATTGGCTTTCAATATGAGTGGTCTGGTAGGGAAGCTGGATCCTCGCAGGATACAGTGGGGGTCGACATGGAACACCTTTGCATCCCGTGTCCTCAGGACCAAGCCTGTGGAGTCCATGTTAGATTCAGCCGTATCGGGTACAAGCTCACATGGAACCAGACTGGCCCGGGTTTTGTCTACGGTGGACCTAGTGTCGCTGGGTGTGGGCAGCTGCGTCGGGACGGGGATGTATGTGGTCTCTGGACTGGTCGCCAAGGAGATGGCTGGCCCTGGGGTCATTGTGTCCTTTATTATTGCTGCTGTTGCCTCCATTCTGTCAGGTGAGACTAGAGCTATGCACGCTCATTTATGCAAGGCTTCTCTAATCACATAAACACCAAGGGGACAGTAGCCGCAGTATAAAGGTTGCTGTCCTTCTTATTACCATTAAACCAGTAAGATATATTTGAAAAGCCTTTTAATACCTATGTAATTATTACAAGGGCAATGACATTAAAGGGGCAGAGCTATAATAGGTTCAAGAGATAAGTAAAATATACTTTAATGCTCATATCAATAGTTTCAATTCAGCCTTTCACTCTGGTGATAATGCAGTCAAATCACTGATATGTGTCTGAATTTATGTGTGTCTATATTGTACTCCTCTTCCTGTCTCCCCCACAGGAGTATGCTACGCAGAGTTTGGTGTCCGTGTGCCTAAGACCACAGGTTCAGCCTACACATACAGCTACGTGACAGTGGGGGAGTGTGTGGCTTTTTTCATCGGTTGGAACTTAATTCTGGAATATCTGATTGGCACAGCAGCGGGGGCGTCAGCTCTCAGCAGCATGGCGGACTCACTGGCCAATCACACCATCAGCAACTTTATGACTTCACACATTGGAACACTCAACGGCTTAGGTAAGTAGCACAAAGACGCAGTGCTATGACAGCTTTGATAAATTTTCTCTCTGGTTCTAATTTTCTCAGGATTGGAATTCATTCAGGTATTGTGTAAAGGACTGCAGTTTAACTGTGAATGCTTTTTTTCAGTGTTATATTTACGTTATTTCAGGGAACTGAAGCCAAAGTGCTTCTTAGAAATCACCTGTGAGATAATTTTCTTGAAGGCACATTTTTTAAGGCATTAAGAAGCAGGGTAATTCATCTAGAATCTACATCTTATCAGCAATCAGCTACAGTTAGTTGTTTTGGTTCAGCTTTCAAGCATGTTTGCTTTAATGGTAAAAACATGCATTGACCCAAGTGACTTTTGGAGAGATGTTATCTTTTTTTCCCCCCTCCCCACTCTCCTCAAGAAGGTCAGACAGAGCTCTGTTCCTTTTGCTGTAGTTGTAGTTAAGACAAATACTTCCTCTTTGAGGTCTTTAAGAGACTTTGACATTTAGACTTTGAGAAGTACATTTAATAAATCCAGCCTTTGCTCTTATTCCGTATTTGCACACTAACACGACTTGTTCCTAAGAGTCATGATTTACTTTATCAGTGTGGAATAGAAGCGCAGCGCCATTTCTATCATACAAAGGATCTCCCATTGCCTTGATAATCCCAACACATCTTTCAAATTTTAATAAAAACACCAATATAAAAATGCCTACATTATCTCAGAAACCATTCAAACCATACCAATTTATTTTTCCCAGGAACATCCAAAGAATATTATGCAGCTTATCTTGGAAGTCATACTGTCATGGAAAGTAAAAGCAGGCACATCATCTTGAATTCTATATAACACAGTTTTCCATAATCTTACCATGAGGAGGATGCCTGCTTATCTTGTGCAATGCTCCAGCTGATGTGTGTGCCAGCTATGTTTCTATCTGGCTGACACTGCCTCATCAGTTGCTTCCTGTTGGCCTTTGAAAAAGTGATAGTAGTGGTCACATGACAAGTGTCACGGCCAGCCGTTCCAAATGATCACGGAAAGCTGATGTTTCCTTTTCCTGTTGGAGAGAAATGATTGTTTCTCCACACCCAAGGGGAAAAATGTGAAATCTAACTAAAATATATCTCATTCATTTCCAAATACACACAGGCTGAGTTCTTGTGGAACATGTGCATCTAAAACTTTTTTGCCGTAATGGTCAACTGGGTGGGGTGTATCTAATTTAGGAATGCAGTACTTCACTATGATAACTTATCTTACGAAAATAGTTCAGTTGATGTGCCAAATCTAAAAGTGTTTCCAACTTTCTGTTGCCAAGAAATTAAACAGAGTTGGAAAGTTCAATTTTTTTATTAAACCATGGCTTTGGGTGTTTTATTGGACCAGTGGGGAATGTCCTGTGAATTACACATGAATTCAATGGAATACCCTTGGACAATTATCTACACATACTCCAACATACTCTATGAGAGTGGCTGAAACTCTTGGAAACAACAAATTAGTCTGAGATTATTTATTCTGATTAATAGTTGTGGTCAAATGTTTACATAGAGTGATCATGGACATGATTTCATATCGTGGAAAGTTTGAGCATTTAATAATTACTTTGAACAGTTTCTGTCTATGTGGGTTCTCAGTAATCTCTTAGATGAGAGGTGAAACATCATTTAAAAAAACAAAAACAAATGCAAGTCACCTTCCTTTTAGCTCTTTAGACTCTGAATTGTTCTTTCTCTAGGTAAGAATAATTGTACGCCAAACATCTTTCATGACAGATTCCATGATCATCACTTCAAATAATTGTACATAAGTAAAAGTTATTCAGATGGGCCACCACTTTGTCAAAGTCTGAAAAAAAGGTCCAAACTGTCACCCTCAGATGAGAGAAATTTGGTTAAGACATGTGGAGCAAGCCAGGAACCACTGAGGCTTAAACCTGCCATGAACTGGAAACTGCTGGAATACCAGGGTAACAGTTACATCGCCATGGACTGAGATGGTGATGACCTTGAAAAGACCCTTTTCCAAAGTTGACACCTTTAGGCTCAACTTAAATTTTCAGCGGCCCACATGGATAAGCTAAATTTCTTATAGAGAAAGGTTTGATGGTCAGGCGAGACAAAGATGGAACTATTTGGCCACAATGACAAGAGTTATGTTTGGAGGAGTAAAGATGAGGCTTTCAAACCTATGAACTGTATCTCTGCCACTATTGTATTGGTACAATGCACTAAATGGATGGAATGATACAGAAGGAAGAAGCTTCTTTATGCTTCTTCTCAAAATCCATCAACTTCACCTCAGATCAATAGCTAGATGACACAAATGGGTGTTCCAACAGATAGATCAAAACTGGTTTTGGAATGGATAAAGCAGGCTAATGTTAAGCTTCTGGAATGACCTTCCCAAAGCCCCAGTCTCAGCCCTTCTGAAAATTTGTGTGCTATGCTTAAAAGCCGGGCCGGTGCCAGGAAACCAATTCTGCCAAGACGAGTAGTTAAATATCCAGCCAGAATTATGCCAGAAGCTTGTCGATGGGTACTAAAAGTGTCGGGTTGAGGTGAAGCGCGGTACATTTGAAGTTGTATGTTTGACCCTGTGTGGATTACAGAAAATTCTTGATTTTAGATGTATGTTGTACAATTATTACACCCTGGAAAAAGAAAAATTCAGAGAAATTATTAAAAGACCAAATTTGCATTGACATTTATCCCATTAATGATTGTACTTTATGTGTTCTTCTGATAAAAAACTATATTTAGTTAAACTGATTTGACAGAGCTTTAGAACTAGCATCAATAATGTGAGGATTTTCTACTTTTCTTTTTAATTTGGGGTTAATCAGACAAAATAAGAAATTGAAAACCTGCTTAACTGTGAGAGGACTTGTTCTGACAATTTAGTATTTTCTTGAAAAAATAACAAAGCAATTACTCAAACAGTTTTATGCCAAACACACAGGAAAATGGATATATTAATCTTCAGCACCACAGTGACTGGGTGACAGCACTTTTATGTCTTTCTGTGTATTCAAGCATGCGTGTTTCCTCTCCAGGTAAAGGAGAACAGTCCTACCCAGACCTACTGGCACTGCTGATAGCACTGCTGGTGACAGTGATAGTGGCTTTGGGAGTGAAGAATTCTGTTGGTTTCAACAACGCATTGAACGTCATCAACCTTATAGTGTGGGTGTTCATGATGATCGCTGGCCTGTTCTTTGTAAATGGGGAGAACTGGGACGAGGGGAGATTTCTGCCTTTCGGCTGGTCAGGGGTATGCATCCGAATGTATATATAAACACACACAATAAATAACAAACAAACAGAAACCCCCCTACCATCAGCAGGGTATCTGTGCTGTTTGGTTGTTTTCTTTAGGACATCCATCAGCTCTGTTTCCTCTGTGTTGCAGGTGATGCAGGGTGCAGCCACCTGCTTCTATGCCTTTATTGGATTTGACATCATTGCTACAACAGGAGAAGAGGCCAAGAGTCCCAACACCTCCATCCCCTATGCTATCACCGCCTCACTCATCACCTGCCTCACTGCCTATGTCTCTGTGAGTTAGCTTTATAACATATTGCATAAACAAACATGACCGCTCTATTCTTTATATATCTATTGTTATAATCTATTGTTATTCACACTAATAGTTTTGTGCATAACAAAGTAGAGCGTCATTCATGTTATGGTGGTTTCCGTTGATATATTTTGTAAAATGACTTAATTTAATTATAAACCTAAAGAATATTGATCACTTATCATGTGCTGAAATTCAGCTTTAGCTTCAGCTGTCTGCTCTCCCCCAAATGTTGACAAGTTTCCAATACACGGAATGAATAAATATGAAGATGCTGTATTTCAAATTTGTGGGTGTGTATCTAATCTCTGATCTCCACCTTTACAGCCCGTACAGCTTTCCTGATTACATAATGTGTGCTGGATGGTTGT